TAACTTCAGAGACATTAATGATTTGAAAAGAAGAAATATATTTTCAGGATTTCTAGAAATCGACATTCCAAACGAATTGTGTAGGCGAAGCAACACAAGAAAAACTTCAGCAAGGATGCAAGAAGCATGCCAAAGGCTATTCTCGAAGTCATATACTCTTATGTATGTGGACCAATCTAGATGGATTTTTTTGGAGGTAATAAGTACTTTGTCACAATCTTAGATGATTTCAGTCGAAAGTTGTGGACTTAGCCGATCAAGAAAAAGTGAAGTTATCGAGGTATTTTCCAAGTTTAAGTTTATGGTCGAAAGACAAAGTGGTCGAAAGCTCAAAGTTTTGAGAACTGATGGTGGTGTAGAATATGTGTCGAAAGACTTCGACAAATTATGTGAAAAAGAAGGGATTGTGCATAAGGTGGTGCCACCCTACACTCCACAGTAGAATGGAACTGTAGAAAGGAAGAATCAAACCATCATGAATATGGTGAGAAGTATGTGGAAAGGTAAGCATTTACCTAAAGAGTTTTGGGGTGAAGTTGTGTCGACTATAACATATATTTTGAACAAATATTCGACAAAGAAGCTAGAAGGAATGACTTCTGAAGAATATTGATCTGGTGTGAAGCCTAGCTTGAGTCATCTGAAGATATTTGGATCTATTGCACATAGACACGTGCCAGATCAATTGAGAAGAAAACTTGATGACAAGTCGAGTCAAATGATTCTAGTAGGGTATCATTCGACAAGAGGTTACAAGTTGTTCGACCCAGTGAACAAACAAATTGTGATCAACAGGGACGTGATCATAGATGAGCTTAAAGAATGGGATTAGACTGAAAATGTCAAGAAAGATTCAGTGGAATCCTACTTGAAGAACCAAAAACTCAAGTCGAAAGTGAAGTTAGACAAGAGGAACCATCAATTATAGATCAACCAAGTACAGGAATACCTCAAAGAACAAGACGCATGCCTGCAAGATTGCAAGATTGTGTGATTACATCAGATTATGTAGTTGATAACGAAGGTGATCTGGTACATTATGCTTTCTATGCAGATGTCGAACTTGTCAATGCAGCTGAAGCATTGAAAGATTCGAAGTGGGTGAAAGCAATGAACGAAGAAGTAAAGTCCATCTAAGATAACAACACTTGGTCACTTGTCGAATTTCCTCAAGGCAAGAAGGCAATTGATGTTAAGTGGATATATAAAGTAAAGATGAATGTCGAAGGGGAAGTAACTTGACACAAAGCAAGGCTTGTGGAAAAAGGATTTATACATAAAGAAGGAATAGAGTTTGATGAAGTTTTTGCACTTTTTGCTAGGATCGAAACAATCAGGTTGGTTGTTGGTCTTGCAGAAATAAATAGTTGGCACATATGCCAGATGGACGTGAAGTGTGCATTCCTGAATGTACCCTTAGACGAAGAGGTTTATCTTAAACAACCAGTTGGGTTTATGAAACATAACAAAGAGAGAAAGGTGTACAGGATGCATAAAGCCCTGTATAGACTCAAACAAACTCCAAGAGCTTGGAATAAGAAAATTGATAGTTTTCTAAGGGAGAAGGAATTTGTGAAGTGCACAACTGAACATGGAGTATATGTAAGAAGAAGCAATATTAAATTGCTTATACTACGTATCTATGTCGATGACTTGTTAATAACAGGTAGCTGCAAGAAGGAGATCAAATACTTCAAAGGTGATCTCAACAAGGAATTTGAAATGTCGGATTTGGGTGACATTTCATACTTCCTTGGCATCGAATTCTACAAGAGTCATAGAGGTTTGATGATCCATCAAAGAAGATATTGTAGCGGTAAAATCAATGAAGTCGCCACCGAGTATTTATTTATCCCATATAAAAGGGAAAGGAAAATCATCGAAGAAAAACTTAAAGGGGAAAACCAAGGTCTTGCGACCGAGAGATTGGGTAAGGGAGTCGATTACGCAAGGGGAAGGTATTAGCACTCCACACGTCCATAGTACTCTACGGGATCCACTCTCCTTATTCGAATCAAAGGGTATGTCCAATCTAATGCTTAAGAGTTATAGACTAAGAGGGAATGCATGCAAAGAAAACACGGGGGAAAAAAGGAAATATTTACAAATTTTCGCTCGGCTGAGCCCCGTGACCAGATGCCTACGTATCCCTTTTAAGGAATCAGAGCATCGTAGTTCGGCTCATATATTTTGTTTGTTTGTATTTTTTAAATGAATAATGTTGCATTCGATCATTCCACCGCTGCTTGACGTTTGGAGACTTACGACCTGTAGTGAAAAGGAGCTAACATGCTCTTAAAAGAGAAAAGCGGAATGGCGAAAAGAAATGGATTGGTTGGTATTTTTTACCATGAAAAGAATTTTTGTATGCTTAGCATTTTTTATACATTTGCCAAGAAAAAAAGAAGATTTAGTTTTAAATGCAATTATGCAAAAATGGGAAGAAAACATCTCAGATGGACTAACCTATCTCTAACCTAATGTTATCATACAATGAGGGAACTTATCTAAGTTAGCATGCCAAAGAAAGTCTAACAAACTATCCTATAGGGAACATACAATGAGAGCGAAGTCGTGATCTCAATTTCTAAATTGAGTGACTCATCGATCAACAAGAAAGGAAACAAACACTAGCATGACACATGTAATAAATAAAGTGTGAGATGTCTGCTACAGGTCTTTAAACAACGACTTCGAGCGCACGCTCTTTATTTTCTACTTCTCATGATATCTAGAAAGCAATAAAATGTGGAAGAATAAATTGGAAGCAGTATAATACCAAACGAACAATAATGTCCGCAAAAAGCGCAACCAAAGAAAAGAAACCCTGAATACTTCGCGCGAGCTGGCATCAACAAACAAACAGTCAGAGATTGAATATTCGGAATAAGTGTCGAAGCATCATCGATGTGAAAATAAATCACACTCGGAAACTCAAACACATCCGCATATCAAACAATGAACCTACACAAGACTCAACTCAACATGCAAGGGTGAATCACAAGTTTCAAGTAGTCGGAAAAATTAGAAATTAATTTTCTAAAAATCAAATGAGAAATCTAACAAATTTTTATTGGTTTTTTGTAGTTTATTACCCTAAAAAATAAGAGGCACTCCTAAAATCTATATTTTTTATTGTTTTTTTATTACATGTATTTTGCTACTACTTTTATTATAAAAGGAATTTAAACTAAAACTAAACAAAATATAGAAAACATGGGAAATATAATTGGTCAGGGGGGGTGTTAAAATGGATTCTGATGGGGTATTATAGTAAACTGGGCGCAGGGCCAATTGCATCAAGGTCCAATGGCATCTCTTTTTTTTTACTGCACCTCAAACTAAAAAGCAGGGGGCTGGGCTTATGGAAGATAATTGTGGCCCGATCCATTACCTATTTTGTATATTTCAGATTCATTTACTAAAAGAAGAAAAAAAGATGAATATTAAAAATTAAGAAGGGACTAGGGTTATATGCCGTGACTACTTAGCTTCAAGAGAAACTTCTATTCATTCTCTCTTCAACGGTGATGCCTTCTCTCCGCTGTTATGTTCAGCCATGTCCTTCGTCGTCCCGTCTTGACTTTGTTTCAACTCAACATCGTGGCCCCTCCATCTTCGTCTAACCTCTTAACCTCCTTCTCAAATTGTAACTCACAGATTCGCTCAACGATCCACCTCTTCACGGAGAATTTGACCTCACCATTTATCATCATTCTTCTTAAGCATTCGAATCACTCATCTCCAGGTTGATGGAGGAGCGTCAATTGAAGCCTTGATCAGAATTCTCAGTTGGAGATTTAATCGACTCCGACAACAATATAACGCGAGACAGTTGTAAATTAGCAAGAATCTGAAGAATGTAGTGCCTCAATCGAAAAATGTTTAGAGAACTCACCAATTGGAGTCCGTCCAATGTCATTTCCTCGATAGTGACGACAAGAAAATATCAGGTACACCTTCTTGTCTCAATTCATCTTTTCTGATCAGTTCTTCATCCTCTTCTATATCTTGCATTTCTTGCAATTTAGTTGTGTGTTCCTATGGTTGTATTGTCGTTGACGTGATTCGTTATTACAATCGTGATGCAATGATGTGTAATGAAGGTGTTGGACAGAAGATGGAGATGTTGAGGTTGTGGAATCTTGTAGAAAATTACGGCGAAGCCAAAAATTGATGATGGAGGAGGTTTCGTGATGAATGATGAAGATGGAATAAGAGGTGCGGTTATGATAAAGGTTATAGAATTGGTGAAGATATTGTGCGAAGGACACAGAGAATGATGAAGATGATGAAGCTGATTGAAGATGTAGAGGTCCAGAAATGGATGAAGATGGAGGAGTGAAGCGTTGTGCGTGATATGGAGAGAGAGTTTTTCTTTGTACTTTTTTTGTTTTCTGCATCATGAATCCTCTCCTTTTAGAAATTTGTTACAAATTTGTTAGCCCCTCTGTTTCAATTCTGTTATGAATCATTTTCTCCTCTCTCAACTCAGTTTTCTATTTCTGTTATGGATGAAAAATGGCCTTGGTTAATTCAGTTATGAATTGGTTATACAATTACAAAATAGTTAGGGAAATTGATCTCTGGGATTTTTCTGTTATGACAGTTATAGGACATCTCTGACTTACTGCTATTTCAATTATTTCTTGATTTTTCTACTTGAATAAATTTTCTGATTAGTATTTTCTCACAGTTTTTGTCTGTTATTTATTTTATTCCCTCTTTTTCTGTTGAACTGAAAACATTGGTTTTCTCTGCTTCTGCAATATATTCAACATTATGTTCCCTAGTTGCAAAACTTAGTTTAACCATACTCTTCGTTGAACTATTTGACCTTTCTTGTTTCTCCAGGTATATTGTCCATCTCAGAAGATATTTCTCAATAGCACAAATCCACTCTGAAGTAAGCCTTCTACTTTTTTTCTGTTAAAAATTGCAAACTGGATTTTTGCTTGGATGAGTTGCTGAACTGTTTTTGCTTATGAATTAATGCAGGGCTAGTGTATGAACTTGCTCACTTTTCTCTCATGTGTTTGCAGCACGACATACTCCCGACATTCATGTGAGCTTGTGTCAATTGATTGAAATAGGGATGTTTCAGTATATGAGCAAATTGAGAGGAAGCATAGGAATATGTTTGAGACATTCGAAGGCGAGGCATGAAGTTTGAATTGTAGACATGAATTGGTGGAGATGGAAGCACCAAAATGGTAGCCATTAGGTTTAGGATTGGACATAGGTTTTATGTACGATTTCTTTTGTAATGTCTTGTAAAAATGAACAATTCGTCTTGTTTCTTGAATTCCAAAGAACTAAACTTGAACGAATATGGAAGTATTTGAATTTCAATCTTCAATTGAATGAAACATTCGAATCCATGACTTATGGTTGATAAAATCTCAAGTAACATAGTAATGAAAGCATATTGGTATCTTTTTCATTTTTGAATAGAACTTTGTTCATGAATGAAGCTTTGAATAAAGTCGAATTTTGATGATTTTAATGAACATTTGTGATTGGAACCTTGATGACATTTGATAACCGCGAGATGACTTTGATAATGATGTGTGTGATATGGTGGGAGAACTGACTTGAGGATTTGCGTTTGTTTTTGCAAATGTTTCGGTTGAGCAAGAGTCGCCACCGACTTTTTATTTTATCCTAAAGGAAAGGTTAAAAAGCACAGGAAAAACCTTTTGAGATGTTTCGTGGGTTCGGGGGATAGATTATGAAAAGGGAAGGTATTAGCACCCTTTTCATCCATGGTTATGGTTTTTAGATCACTTGCCTTTGATTTTCAATTGCTTGAAATGGTGTGTGTGTGTGTGTTTTGAAAATGTTTTGAAAGAGATGCCTTGTCTTAGGCAACCAATGTAATGACTCGTGTTTGAGTGTTTTACAAAGGTGTGTATCTTTTCGAAAAGATGTTTCAAATGTTTTTGAGAGTTTGTTTTGAAAGGGTTTGTGGAGTGTGGTTTTGAAAAGTAGGCAAACGTTTTTGCAAGTTTGATCAAGTAACTAAGAGTTTGTCTACCCCTAAATTTACTCAAAGGTTTTTCTCATGTTTTAACCCCTTTTAACAATTTTGTTCCACCATTGTATTTGGTGGACAATCTTGCGTTTAAGATGTTTAACGGGACAGGCGTGGGTAATGGTGCCAAGTATCTTTGGCAATTTGCTTGAAGGGACTATGATCATTCCGTTTAAGCAACTTTCGAAAGCGTCATCGAGGGACTTATGATCATTTGAATTGTTTTGCCAAAGAAACTCGACGTGCAAGCATGGCCCATTTTGGAAGGCAACAAGCGGGATTACCCTAGGGGTGCAAGTGTGATTATGTATTGATTTCATGCATTTGTCTTTGTATTAGGTTATCTAGCGTTTGATTTTATGTACATGAAAACCCTAGGTCTAACCATGATATATTTGAAAGCGGTAAATTGCGGGAATTTAAAGTCTACGCTATTACAAATAAGTATCCGGGAGTGGGGGTACAAATTTACAAATGGGGATGAGACTTAAATGGGAGAGTGGTGTCCAAATAATTTACAACCAAATCGAATTGCGCAAATGTAATATGTAGTGTATAGCGATGTATAAGAATAGAATAATGTAAATGTGTCAATGTAAAGTAAATGTATTTGTGTATTGTAAACGTGTAAGTGTACGTATTTACAAGTGTGAAATGTGTATTTATTAAGTATTGCTAACTTAATGAGAAAGTTGAGTATTTTATTTATGTATTGTTATCATGTTTTGTATCTTTTGTTAGGTATGTACAAACATTTTAAATGAAAAAAAAAAGGTTTAAGTTTAAGAAAAAGAAAATGTTTTAAGTTTAATTGTATTTTTAGGTATTTTATTGTCTTTATGTATAAAAAAGATTTATCAAAAGTTTTAAGACCAAATCTATTAACCTAATCTAATATTTTAATATTGATGTATTCTTAAAATAAAATAAAAGAAATAATTAAGAAAATTTTATAAAAAGGTGTCATTTGTTTTAACAAAATATTATTTTTAAATTATGTATAAAAATGAATACTACATTACTTTTATTCACAAACAAAATTATGTTAGCTTAAATTTATAAAAGAAAAATATAATGATAAAAAAAAAGGTCAGTTTATGTAAAAAAGGGAATGGGCTTAAGGGTGGACGTTTGGCCCAAGCTGAAACAAAGGAAACAGAAGCAAAGGGGGGGGGGGGGTGCCTGCCAGGAATTACTTGGGCTTAAGCGCTGAAAGTGGGACTAGGCCCAAGCGCGTCTCACAAATTTGCAAGGGTTTGAGTTATTTCATTCAGAAAGGGATTTAGGGTTTGTGACAGAGGCGTGTCGTTCTCTTCATTTCGTTCGTTCCTCTTCATTTTCCTCAACGTAAGGGCCACTGAATCGAGACCCTCCGCCTAGGGCCACCGCGCCATCATCCGTCTTCCTCCCTCCATGGACCGCTCGAGCAAAGATAAACAAAGGTAACGGCCTATCCTTCTTATGCCTTAGGGTTTTTGTTAGTTCTTTTTGATTTCAAGCTTTGATTAAGTATTGTTGTTGTTTATTATTTGAAATGCATGAAAGGTGTATAAGAGTACTATCTTTGACCTTGGAGACGGAGGAGGAAAGGAATGGGAGGCGCTGTGGTGGCCAGAGGCGAAGGGGAAAGCGCTGATGAGCTAGCTTGCTTGTTTTGTTGGAGAACCCGATACTTTTGTATTGCTTCTTTTTTTTCTTTGTTTTACAGATAAACATCAAATGGAGCAAAAGAGGAGGAGCAGTAGAAGATGAAAACTTAGGAATTTTCTTAGGATAGTTTTATTTCCATTTCAACTATTTGTACTATTATTATTGTAATCAAAGATGTAAATAAATTTACAGTTTGTTCAAATAATAACTTGTAACAAAACAATTGAAGATGAATAAATAAAAATCCTTTTGATCAATTAATTCCTTTTATTTCCTCTCAATTGTTCAACTTAATTATTTGAATTTCTTAAATTAAAACAAATGGAAATAAATCCAATTATTCTGACTTTAGAAAAAGAAATAATTAATAAACGTCTGGCGTTCCGAATTAAACATAACAATGCACAGTCAAACAAAACATCCACATGCCTCTTTTCACTGATTTAGTCAAACACTGCAAACTCAATCCAAATGCTTCAGTCCAAATCTCAGAGTAAACTGAAAAGATCTGTAAAATTAATTCTTTCTGAGAACGCGCGCACCAGAACCCTAGTTCTTGATTAAATGCCAGAGAAACGCCTGCCTGATCAAAACCTAAGCCAAAATCAACCAAACCCTAATAATTTGTTGGAACTGTATCAAAAGTCCATGAACCCTAAATTTTGTCTGACTGTCGAGAAAAGTTTGTTTGACCGATTCTTGAGCCAGTCTGAAAAAATCAGGAAACGCCCGAGGCTGTGATTTCTTGTGGAAAAATACGAGGGCAAATTTTGGGGTACAACCGTTTCCCCTGTTCAATCTTCTTGAACTTGAAGAGTTAGATTGGCAAGTTTGTCGTTCGTGACTCGAAGGTAAAAGGAGATTGGACACTAGAGTGCCCGGAAATTTGCACTCGGTGATGTGATGGTGGAGGGAATGGGCTTAAAGATGCCATTTGGTGATGGGCTTAGAGATGCCATTTGGAGATGTGACAGAACCTTGTCGGGAATGGGCTTATAGATGCCATTTGGAAGTGTGATGGATAGTTGTGGAGATGGGCTTACAGATGCCATCGGGAGGTTTGACGGAACTTTGTCGAGAATGGGCTTATAGATGCCATTTGGAAGGGTTGATCGCGTAAGAGATTCCTTAGCGAGAACTTGCGTACTTGAGAAAGAAAGATGGTTTCCTGGCTTGCTACCGGTTGATCTTCAAACTCTTCATGCAGATATGCCCTGGCTGGATACAGGTATCGAATCTACAATCAAACGCTCACAGATATGCCCTGGCTAGATACAGGAATCGAATCTGGAAATTGCGATAGTTGATAGTGATCATCTTTGGATTGACCTTTTTCCTGAAAAGGCAAGACATCAGTTGTATGCAATGTCATGATGTATGAAATGCATGAGGTCATGATGCTTTCAAGAATAAATGAGATTGTGTGATATGATGCGTATATGCATGCGTCATGATGTATAAAATGTGAAATGTCTTTGTGTCTAGGAAAATAAATCCTTGACGACTGCCGGGAGTTCAAATCCTGGGCTGATGTCGAAGAGTAGAGTTCTTTGCTTCCGCTGGGGATGATGGTTGCAAGAATAAACCGGTGGGAGAAGATGACTCCGTTGGGGAATAAACTTGTTGGAGAGATTACTCTGCGGGGAATTACTCTGTGGGAAGAGATACTTCATTGAGGTTTTGACGAGAGCTCCGATGGGGGTTCCACTGATAAGTTATGTTGGGGAATTGATGAACTCCGTTGGGGATAAAAGAATCTTGACTGCTAAGGGGAATTAGATTCTGTAAGGCTCTCTGGTTGGGGATTACAAGAATCTTTTGAGTTTTTTAGAAGAAACCGGTGTAGGGTTTCCTGATGATGAGTCCGTGTAAAACTAACATCTTCCAACAGGTGATGAAGGAATTGTTGAACACTTTTGACATTCGAATGCCCGAAGTGGTGATGTAGATAATTTCCTGGCTTGTTACAGGTGTTAATCCACAATCAGTCGTCCACAGATATTTTCCTAGCTTGTTACAGGTGTTGATCTGGAACTTAAGAAAGGTGACAGAATGGCAACTGTGTCTGGAGCACATCTGGACCGTATCTTCCAACAGGTGATGAAGGAAATGCTGAACACTTTTGACATTCGAATGCCCCAAGTGGTGATGTAGATAATTTCCTGGCTTTTTACAGGTGTTAATCCATAATCAGTCGTCCACAGATATTTTCCTGGCTTGTTACAGGTGTTGATCTGGAACTTAAGAAAGGTTGGTCAAGGAGATACTGTCCTGGCTTGTTACAGGTGTTGATCTCTGACCTGAGAAATAAAGAAGGTTCCCTGGCTTGTTACAGGTGTTGATCTTCAATCTCTTCATGTAGATGATTTCTTGGCTTGTTACAGGTGTTAATCCACAATCAGTCGTTCACAGATATGCCCTGGCTAGATACAGGTATCGAATCTGGAACTTGAGAAATGTTGGTCAAGGAGATATTGTCCTGGCTGGATACAGGTGTTGATCTCTGACCTGAGAAAGAAAGAAGGTTCCCTGGCTTGTTACAGGTGTTGATCTTCA